TGGGAGAGGAGAGGAGAGGGAGAGGGAGAGGAGAGCTTGATGATGTTTTTGAGGCCTCAGGAAATGATGTAAGTGTTTGGGTGTCRTGCCTGGCTGGCAGGAGGGCAGTGCAGCCCTGTGCTCACACAGAGCCCTGCAGGCTGGCACCAGTGCCAGGCTCCCCRAGAGCTCCCATCAACAGTTTGCCTTCAGGATTTCTCCAGCTGATAARTTTTTGTCTGGCACTCTGAGCCCCTCCATCTGTTCAGCAGTGACTGAGGCTGCCTGGCAGGGGCTCAGGGCTGCAGGGAGAGATCCCAGAGCCAAGGGCTCCTCCCTGAGAGCGTCCGTGTGAACGTGGCAGCCCTGGCAGCCCTGGCAGCCCTGGCTCTGGGGCTCTGTGGCTCCTGGTTCAGCTCCCGAGGGCCCTGCCCTTGCTCCGGGGGCTTAGAGCAGGAAGAGGCACCGGGCAAATACTCCAATGAGGATTTTAAGGTAGCACAGAGCTGTATCCAGGTGAGGCTGGGAGATGAAGGTGCCATACCCAGCAGAGGGGCACCAGATGGGCACACAGTGAAGCTCTTTGGGCTGCACATCTCTGAGGAGTCCGTGATGGCATTTGCCACTCCTGTGTGACAGCAGCAGTGAGCAGGAGCTGCTGGCACCAGAGCTCACAGCAGTTTGCAGAGGAAGGCTGCAGGGAGGAGCAGACTGGGTTACTGTGTTTGTTTGGGAGCGTTTCCTCCGSAATGGCTGCACAAACACTGCTGTGKTTYAGGCTGTGCTGAGGCAGGAGCAGTTTGCCCTGGGCTCTGCTCACTCCTTGCTGAGCCCAGCACTTGTACCTGGATGCTCCCAGTGCCCTGCATTTGCCATTCCTGCTGCAGCTGTTTTGTGCAGGGAAGCTGGAGAACTTGATTTTATCTCTGCTGAGAGATTATTCCTCAAAAGCAAGTGTCCTTTTGGGAGGAGAATTATGTCAGGTGCTGCGAGCCCAGTCAGCCTGAATCCTGGCTCTAAACCAAGTRTAAAACCTTGTTATATTGCAGCCATTTGGACTAACCTGAAAGTCAAAGCTGTTAATCCCAGCAGGCAGCTCCCACTGGATAAAACCCTTCCTTCCCCTCTGCAATAAGATCAGAGGCAGAGCATGAAAGGAAATGCTGATCTTTTCACTCTGCCATGCTCAAGTCTTTGGCTGCTGGGAGGAAGGGTTTGGTTTGTGCCTCAGCCAGGGCTGAGGGATGTGCAGTGGTTGGGACTGCCTTGTTAGCTTTTCACAATGATTGACTCAGGTCTGGGTTACAGAAAGGAATAAATGGTTAGTGACAGACAGGAGGAGACATGGCAGGAGTGACAGCATATTCCAGCAGTGCTCATTGCTCCCTGCTCCAGGGGAAATGTTGAGGCAAATGGATGGCATTTGATGTTTTTAGGAGCTCAGGGCATGGAGGGGAGGCAGTTGTGCCCCTTCTGTCTGCAGGGGTGTGAGGCTTCTGCAGTGTGGGGTGGGACAGCACTCGGGCTGTTTCCATTCCATGGCAACCAGGGTTTGGATTCASTAATGGGTGTCCAGGGATACAGGATCATTAAGCAGAACTCATTAAATAGCTGGTTATTTTTAACAGCCTCTTGTTCTCAGTTTCCTCCACAGACTGCTGCCTCACCAGATGAACTAAAGGTCTATGCACTTTGGGAAGCTGGTGACACTTATGATCAGGTAAAGATAAATTAAATGCCATTCCCAACTATATGTTTATTGAACGTTTGCCATTGTTTGCATCCATGTTTCTGGAACTGCTGCAGCAGGAGTTTTTCTCTGTTGGTGCTTTCACCACCAACCTGTTTCCAGCTGAAAGGAAGCTCCTGGCTCATAACATGTTGGCAATCATGTCAGTACCCAGCTCAGTGGCTGTTCTGAACCTGGGGGAAGAAAGGATTTCAAGTGCAGGCCTCAGATCAGGATCCAGCCCAAGTTTTTTTTCCTTTGATGGTAATGCAACATTAACCAGAGATTAACAGGCATAGCTGTTGTATCTGTTTATACTTAGAATAGGAAATGGTTACAGCATGTGTGAGCATCCCCTGAGTTCTGGCTGCTGTCAGTAAATGAGGAGAAAGGGAAGGTGCCCAGCAACCATGGATGGACAGTGCAATTCCTGCCTCCATGAAATAACATTTTTATAGGAAAGAAAGAAGCACAAGCCAACCTCTTGTGTGAAGTGAAGTGAATACTTCAGCATTTGAGAGGAATGCATTGCACCCCCTTCTTCRTTGCAACAATCCTCCAATGCAGTTCTGAGAATGTTTTGTACAGACTAAGGCACGTGCAGTTTGGGCAGAAAGGTAGGAATAATTATTCTCTGTGTACTTATGGTACATTTTCTTTTAAAGCATCGCCAAGTTTTGCTTGAAATCTTCTCGAAAAACTACCGAGTGCGCAGGAACGTCATCCAGAGCCAGCTGAGTCAGGAGTGTGGGGAGGATCTSAACAAGCAGGAGGTGGATAGAGTCTTAAAGGTGAGCTTCTGTTCACTGGGGTTTGATCCAATTAATGCAGGAGTTCTAATGCTTGATTTGAGCAAAGGATGATTTTTAACCATGAACTGACATATGGTAAGGATGACAGAACAGTTGTTGGGATATGGACAAAGCCTGTTTCAGCTTGTTTTCTTACAGAATGACAGAAGTTCATTTTTCCTCTTTTCCTCCAAGGAGCAATGGCTCACACATTTTGTATCATTGCAACAATTCTTTTTGTCATCTTGGAGCAGCAGAGAATAGAGTGTAGTAAATGKGATACTTGAGTTATTTTTAAATAATGCAGAATTAAACATGAAGGAGGTGGGAAGGCTGTGCCCAGTGCTCTGAGTTACAGCTGCCTGCTGCTGGTTAGTGCTGAAGAGCACAAAGAGATKTGCASAAGGAAATGCACTTCATTCTCCAGYAGGATGTGCAGCTTTGTACAGAGCAAAACCCTGGCCAAAAGCAGCAGGCAGAGTAGTAGTTAGCACATCTCATTGTGAATGTTTGTTTGAATCCTTTCATGTCTTTGAAGATGCACCATTTACTTGCTCAAGAATTTGAAGTTATAAAGTACAGACCACACAGGCCATGACTTTAAAGGAGATGCAGGATGGCCAAGCAGAAAGTTGCCAAGTAATGTAATGCTTTAATCATTGTGGCTGGGCCTTTGCTCACTGTCACCCACTTCAATGAGACAAGTGCCTAAGTACTTTATTACATTGTGATCTGCAAATGAATAATGGCATCTTTGAAGAATTACAGATCTGTTGCTGTGATAATRAGCAAACTGGTCTTGCTTGAAAGAACCTGGTTGTGTTAGCAGTAAAATAAGCTCAGCCCTTTCTGCCTGCTAGACAGTATTTCCTGTGGCTCCTGGGCTGGGGCATTTGTCAGCCACGACAGGAGCTCAAGTGTCAGCTCTCCTGGAACATCAGACAATGTAATGGCATTAGTTTTTCATGATGCTGCTGCTATTTAACAGATAGCCTATTTCTGGAAAAAATACCTGCCCCTAAGTCATCAGGCTCTGTTTTTATGTAAGTCACTAAGTCAGTGGGTGACCAGSCTTGTGTTGTGGCAGGCTTTATTGTCTTGAATACATTTGTCACAGGAATATGGGAAATTACCTTTGTTTCTGAAATAACATTCAGCAGTATGATTTAATGAAATAGGAAGATTCTCTGGCTTCTTTAAGCCACAAGAGATTGGATTCCTCTTCAAGCGAAATTGGATTTGTTGACTATTTCCCCATCTGCCTGTGCTCATTTTTATACACAGAGGAACAGGCTGACAGGGTTTGTATTTTTGCATCTGCAGATGAAGTCTGCAAACCCTCTTTGTAACCTCTGGGTTTGTTTTTGTGATGGATGAGTCCCAAGACTGCAGAAAACATTATCTGTTTAAGCTCCACAGGCTCAGTTCTGTAGCAGTACTTGAGCCTGTGTTGAATTACCTGAGTGGGAGGTTGGAGTGAAAGAAAGGGAAGCTGTGAGCTCAGAAACTGAGAGATTTGGTGCTCACCTGATGGAAAGCAGGCAGTGAGCCCCAGGGCAGCCCAGGCCCTGTGCTCCTTTGCTGGGGTGCTCTCCTGCCCCAAGAGCAGCACACGTGTGCTCACAGCAGCGTTCTGAGGTTGGACATTCCATTGTCCTACAACAAAGACATTTCATTGTCTTAAAAAATCCAGTGCCTGCCCTCACTCCCACTCGCTCCCACTCTTCCCTCAGCCTGTTGCCCTGAGTTTCACCCCATTTGCCTTTGCATTCCCTGCTCCTCAGCCCTCACATCCTTCCCTCCCTCAGCCACCGAGCCCCAGGAGGCACCACTGTTCCTCAGTGCCATCCTTTGTCCCTTTGCACCTTCCCCCACTGCCCGTCCCCTCCCTGCACTGAAGCCCTGTGTCCTGCAGGGTGGGGACACCCTGTGCTCCAGGYTCCTGCTCTCCTGTGCACTGGAGAAGGGCTGCTGTTTCTCATCATGTTTATTGTCCCAGCTAGTTGTTCCCAAGACTTTATGGACTTTAGAATCATAGAACCTTCAGGGTTGGAAGAGACCTTTGAGACCATCCATGCACCCATCAATGCAGCACCTTGCCCTGATCCAGGCAGCTCCTGAACACCTCCAGGGATGGTGCYTCCAGCAGCTCCCTGGGCAGCCTMACRGAGCCTTTCCTGTCTCCCCAGGACTGCTGTGTCAGCTACGGKGGCATGTGGTACCTGAAGGGGACGGTGCAGTCCTGACAGCGGTGGCAGCAGTGTCAGTGATCTCCGGGACACAGAGGAACTGCAGCAGCTCAGCCCGAGCCATGCCGGGGCAGCTCTCACTGCTCGGGCCCCGTGGGCACATCCCAGCTCGGAGCTTGCATGGCCCCCGAGGCACAGAAACCGCCGGGAAGGCACCGTGGGACCCCGTCTGCAGCTTGATTAATCTGGGATTTCTAATGTATTGCAATTCTCCTTCTGTTTCGTTATGAAAAAAATAAAACCATATAGTGACACAGACATGATGGAAAATCATGGTCTAAAACTTTATTTTGTAAGTAATGCCAATAAATTAAATTTGTTTACAACCATCCCAGTTTTTGTTAAATCCCTGGATGCTCATACTGTGAGCATTGTCATAGCCCTTGCAGCCCTCTCTGTAGAGAGCAGGTAGTCGTGTTCATGGGAATGTCAGGCCTGGGAGGGGGGAACAAAATCACTGTCTGTGAACTCTGTAATACATTGCAATTGTTCTCACCTGTTGTCTGTGAAATGAGTTATTTGGGGAAGTACCAACACCTGAAACATGGGCAACAACTACTGGATTTCTTCTACTGGTGTGGGGTTGTTTTGAGGGACTTTGTGCATTACTGTGTGTGATAGAGTGCAGTAACTTACCGAGGGCACCCTCTGGAAGGCATCCAGCTGTAGTTACCACATGGCAACCATGTAAAACCTCTATTTTGTGTAATTTTTAAATAAAACTTTATCTCAAAGGTCAACTCTACCCCGCYTTGTATTTGTCAAAGACGAAAGAGAAGCTGCAGCTGCTCCTTTTCCATCCTGAAGGCTTGGGAAGGAAGGACAGGGAGCAGCCCTGGTTACTCCACTGCACTCACCCCACTTGCAGGAGTATTTATCTGCTGTGGCACTGCACAACGCTGGGCCAGTTCTCTGCCCGTTCTCTTCCATCACATGAGAAGCTCAAGGGGATTCTATTGATTTCATCTACTTATGCTCAGAAAAGGCCGAGTTGAGTTGTTGACTAAAATAAGCAGATTAAGGTAGTTAATCCAGATAAGAATGGCTAAGAATATTATCGCCATACTTACAGCATTTTGCATTTTGGTGGAAAATGGCTATTTTTAAACTGCTAAAACTYTACCTTATTTAATAGGCTAGTACAGTTAATAAAAAAGTCCATCAATAAAACTGGGATGTGTTTTATGTTGAGGCAGCCCTGGCTGGCACTGACCCAGTGGCTGCTCTCGGGGAAAGCTGCTCCAAGAGAAGCTCTAAGAAAAGCCCAGCCTGGAGAGATTTATTGCACAGGTGAGTGCTGCAGTACAGCCAGAGCTCAGCAATGGCACAGGTGGCCAAGGGGGAGGTACAGTACAGAACAATCCAGTAATTCTGAGGAAATATTTTTGGTATTTTTAAAGCATAGAAATTGTATATATCAAAGTGGTATAAATTAGCCAAAAGTAATAAAACTACTGATGATCACCTATTTAACCGAGAATTTGGAACTGCTTTTACATGTCTTCTGCTCCAGCAGAATTCCCTTGCTCTCAAAGTGGTAAGAAATACTGTTAGTGAACCATTCTGTGCCTTTCCAGTCTAACTGGGGTGAGACAGGACACAGTAACCTCACAGCAGAATGGCTTTTCTGCCTTTCCCCCCCACTCACCTCTTTTTTGAGCACTAACAAAAACCACAACAGTGAGAAAACACTTACTTCTATCTGGATTTTTATCCTAGACAGGCCTGTTCTCTTCCWTTTAGCATATTGTATTTACAAATACAAATTTCATGGGAACTCCCTCTGAGCTCTGTAGGAAAGATGGCAAGACTAGATAATGCAGGTGGCATCTGCACCAAGCTGTTTGCTGTTTCCTGATTGGCACAAATGGATATAATTACTACTTACACATGCAGCTTGACTGGATTATTTATTTGCTTAGAAAAATATTCAGAAGATTCAGATTCCCATTTTTAAATAATTTTCAGACTGCAATACACATTTTAGAGAAACTCCCACAACATGAARTCTTAATACTGTACCTGAAGGACGAGCTGGACAGAGCACAGCGTAAGGCAGCAGAGCTGCAGCAGCAGCAGTTGACTAAAGCTCAGACTAAAGCTGAGAAACGATCAACATTCCAGGTCAAGGGTTTGGTACCTCACARCAACTTGGCAGGAAGCTGCTGGCCACATTAAACTGTGAGACCCTTCAMAAGGAGGATGTCACCTTTCATTGTGCCTTTTTTCTCCCTCTTAATCGCTCTTTTCTTCACACTTTGAAGCTGTTCTAAAGAACAACCTTCCCCACGTCCTTTGTTTTGCAGAAATTAAATACGTAGAATTACTARTAGGGAGTGGAAAAGGAGAGGAAGAACAAGAGTGTGGTCCCCTGTTTTCAGCAGGAYATGAGCTGGCAGTGTTGTATCCATCTCCCACCACCCCACAGGCAGCACAGAAYAGGGCCAGAGAGGCTGACACTGCAACCAACAGACAAAACAATGGAAGGTTTTACACCTGGCCTGTCTCCTCAAGCACTTGGAGTTTGTGGTGTGTAACATTAAAAGCTACTCCACTATGTCAATGCTACTTCTAAAGTTAAATAGCTAAATAACAACTAACTTACCAAATACACATAAAATGTACAGACATCCACCAGAGAACAGTAGGTCCCAAACAACACAGAGTCAATTCACAGTATCTTGCCTTAAGACAAAGTGCCCTACAAAGGAAACCGTATCTAAAAAAGCCACACAAACTTTACATCAAATCATCTCTTAGTAGGAAGACATTTATACTCATCTGTGGGGCAGCTCAGTATTGTGAAAATGTGGTATTGGCTTAAAGCAAGCACAGCTTTCCACCACCCTGCCAAAGCTCAGCTGGATTGCTCCCCTCCTCCTGGAGCTGAGGAGAGGCTCCCCGAGACTGCTCGGGGCTTTGCTTTTGGAAATCTTCTGCATCAGTGTAGTTACAGGGCTAGATCATCCCTGTGACCCACAGCAAAGCTTCAGTCTGGTTCCTGTGAGAGATTCTGAGTTCTGAGCTCTGTTATTTTTGAGGTGGACTAAGGAAACAAGTGTCAGTTACTGCTCTGGCCAGAGATAAGTGTAATATGAAGTAGTAGTAGTGTAGCATTAAGCCATGATGTTTGTTTGCTTTATAACCACTAGTTTGTGTGACAGTGCTAAACATTMAATCTACTGCTACATAGGAACAGGGAATCTAGTTGATAACTAACTMGCTTGTTAACTACAGGGCAACCAGCCAATCCAAAACATTCATTTTGAGTGCTCAAGAAATCCATTTAAGGGATGTTTCCAACATTCATATGAAGTGTGTTCTTGACTAACACATAAGGTTATGGCTGAGAGGAGAGAGTCTTGTACTTTGCTCTATGTTCATCTATTTCCTCCTTTGTTTTTCTGATACAGCTAAAAATCTCCTTGAAGAGTGCTTTATATTCAGGGAGAGCATTTGTGGAAGAGTCACTTAGCTCAGCAATTGTGAACTCTTGATTGCTAGCTGAAAGATCATACTGGGTGTTCCCCGCGTTTAGGTCTTTGGAATACTGCTTCAGSGTTTGTACAGCCTTGTGTTTCAAAGAGTCTTCATCCATCTGACACTTCTTCAAAAGCTCCTCATACTTCACTTTCAGAGCATTGTACTGAGCATCAACTTCATTAAGCACAGAGATTCCTCGCTGCTTCACAGCCTCAGCTCTCCTGATACACGTTTCTTCGTGGCCCCTGAGAATGTCTGCCCCAGCAGCACTGCTCAGGAGGCTCTCACTGCTGCTCCGTTTCAGGGCCTTCTTCTCAAGCTCCGACACTGTCACCAGTCCCTCATCTGCCAGGCTCTGGCCAAGCTCCCTGTCTAAAGACTCCTTGAATGAAATGAAAAAGGATTCTGGCACCAATTTCTCTGCATTGTGGAGYGTGTTTTCAGACTGAAGTATCTGTCTCATTTCAGCCACCTCTGCTTCCAGCTCCTCTGCCCGTGCCCGGTACAAGTCTGTATCCACCAACCTCCGCTCCAGCTCACAGTTCTCTTTCACCATGAGACTGTATTCCTCTTCCATGGTCACCCTCTTCTCTTTCTCTAGGTTCAGCTGGGCTTGCAGAACTGTCACTGCCTTCTTTAACTTCTCRTTTTCTTCTTCTAGAGGACTTAGCTGACTATCCATAGAAGTAATCTTTTCTGCAAACACGTGATCATAAACAAAGTACCTGTAGAAACAAAATAAGATTAGCAAACATAGGAAGTACAGATGACCACACCTAAAGTTTTCCTGTCCCAGGTAACTAATGACATATTTAAACTGTGTGCTAACACACTGCAGAACACTCACAGGGGCCACTCCACTAACCAATCAGTCCATTTAGTAATTAAAACAGAGTTTGTAAGGACTTATATGCCATCAAATCAAGCTCCCATCTTAAACAGAATGACAGCTCATTATGAGTTTCAAGTTACAGACAAACTGATTGAATAATACAAGTTGAAATTATAATTTCAGTTTAAAAACACATTGCCTCCCTGTACCATGCAGTACTTTCTGACACTGATTTTTTCTACAGCACCCCAATCTAGTAAGTTTTGTCACGATTGTAGGAACAAACTGCATAATTGACAAAGCAATACTGTAGATTGGTATTTTCATAAGCCTTTGGCAACCAGAAGGATCCACTTATTTTGTGAACTGTCAAGGAGTAACAATATTCATTTACTGAGTTTGTTTTTCATATTATCTATGTGTTTGCTTTCATCTGACTGAAAACACTGGGTTGCAAATTACTGTAAGCTTTCTAAGCTACCACTGGGTATGGCTGGCTCTGGGGGAGAAAGTGGAGCACCAATAGTGGTGTGGTCTAGAAGTAGGCCAGAAGCAATGGGAGCACCACACAGTGCAGACACTTTGCTAGCTGTGAACATCAGATCATTTTTCTGCTAGCTTGTCTCGTACCTGTGCTTCTGTCTTAGTTTCTAAAGCTYTGCTTAAAATAGTTCCAGTGTTCTTTAGTATGAAAGGTAAAAAGTCTTACTGGCGGAGGTCATAGAGCTCCTTCAAACAGGAGAAACTGTGCATTGATCTCGGCTGCTCAGACCGCTCCTGGCTCGTCCGGCCTCGGCCAGGCTTTTTCAGCTCTTCCACTTGTCGTTGCAGGTCATCTATGTGTGTTTGTAGACTTTCAATAGTCTCTGTCAAGCTGAAAAGAGAAAAGACCTTTAAATAAAAYTCACCTTTCAATTTCCCAGTACTGTAGAACATCACTAGACAGACACAGCCACCCAATAACTACACAAACACACCTGGACTGCTCTGACTGATATTATCAGCTGGGGGGAGGGAATCTGTAAAAGTTTCATACCTTAATATCTTTTGTTGTGAAGCTCTACTCTCTGCAACCAGTTTTTGATTAGTGTCTTCCAGTTCTCTTGCTGTCACATCCAGCTGTTCATAGACTTTTGCATGCTGGTCATTCATCTGCCGCAACAGTTCCACTTGCTTCGTGAGGTACTGCAAGACAGTTCTGCTGTTACTGGCTTACACTTGAGGCATGAATTACAACTCCTGCTCTGCATCTTTATTCACTCACATTCAGAGAGAAATGAGTAAGTTTGAGAGATGAATTCCCATGTTTGCTTTGGTAAGCTGCAGAGACACCAGCAGTACCTCACTGCCAGCTCACCTTTGTCACGGATGTCACCCCAGGCTGATCAGCAGCCTTTTACCTGCARGAGCTGGGTTTGATGTGCCAGCTCTCTTTATCTGTGCCCACGCCTCCTGCATGGGCTGCACTGCAGTCAGCACTGACAGATTCACACTCCAACACAGCCCTTAACTCTCTGCTGTGTCCTGAAGGCTGCACTGGGCTCCAACAGGAATTTTCTGTATTGACCAGCAACTCTGTCAGCATTACAACTGAAACACTGGGTAGCACTATCAATAATTCAATGTATTTTCAGCTGACCTACGTTCTTCCAGTCTGAAGTAGCATTAAGTGCAGCACAACAGAATTTAGGTTGTGGTCACACTTAAGACAGTATGTGGGCTAATATGTGTCAGGAAGTATAATCAAATTATTGAATTCAAATCTTTAATTACTMACAAGGAACTATTCCAGCTACTGTAATCCCAAACAAAGGTCTCCTGACCTTTTTMAAAAAATTAAACTTCACATGAAGTATTCTCAATGTAATCCTCTTGGGTTTTACAATTAACCTCACAGACTGCTAAGTTTCCTGAATAATGTCAGAAAGCTTGGAATTCTTAGTCTAAGCAGTTAACAATCACCTAAAGCTCTTAATAAAAGTATCTYATTTTGTCCCACCTAGGACATGAACATTTGCAAGAGATCTTTTCTTTTTTTTTGAAATCAAACCCCCTAAATCTGAAATACTTTGTTCTTACATGGAATTTGTATTTTGCAATATATTTTGTATTACTACATATTACTTTCTTAAAAGTAAGCTTTGAGYAGGAACATCCAGCACACTCCTAGGCAGAATTACTTCTCTTTACATAGGCCTGTTACATACTCAAAACTTCTAATATTCTACTTAACCTTTTACCTCATTAAAAGATTGGTGGGTTTACATTTTAGGCAATTTAAGAACAGATAATAAGTTAATCTAGGACTAGTAACTGTCCATACAGACTTCTAGAAGATCAACATGATAGCTAGATCCTTTTGTAGCCTGTGCACACATGACAGAGGATTTACACAAAAATAGAACGTAGATTAGCAGTAGAATCTCAATGTGACCCATTTCAGATTAACTTTCCCTATTGGTTATAGCTGAAGGAAGGAGCTGGAGATCCTCAGACTTTCTTCAGGTGGYTAAGCACAGAACTCAAGGCTTTGGTGCCTGAAGAGATGTTGCCACTTATTACAATGGGCTTTTGCAGAAGCTGAGATGAATAGAAGGGATGAAGCACCGCTTCCTTCACCTCCATTCTTCAGGGCTGCTGTCCAGTTAGCCTGGTACAACCAGACCACCAGAAGATGATGCAATAAATACTTTAGAAGTTCATGCTTAATCCACATYCCCTACAACTGAGCACTGAACATGAAGCAGCACCTTGCATTCTACCACATGAAAAGTAGATAATGTCAGGATTTCCAATGTCTGAGTGCTGAGAGCAGATTCAGCTATGAATAAAGCTGCTGTTTCCCATTCAGCCTTTATTACATCCACAGTGATTAGTTAGTGGCCCACGTGTCAGCACAAAGGTCAGATATAATGATCCAAAGCTGTAAAATGCTTAATATGTTAGTATTTAATATATGAGATGTAATCTTAAGCACATCACGGCCTTTGACCCTTCCCTTTCAGTGCAGACARGGCAGTGCCATATTTCAGAATGATTTCTCAGACAGTTCTAGACTTTGSTATCTGTGAGATCTAAATTAATAGGAAAAAAACTCAGAAGATTTACATGGATAGACTACACTGAAAAAACTAGGACAAAAACTCAGTGRAGTAGCTACAGGAACAGCTAAAACATCACATGTAGCTTATGGAGACAAGCATTTAAAAATTGGGAAAAAATCAGAGACTGAATAAGCCAATTGCACATGTATGCTGTGCAATGGGGTGTCCTGTGATCCCACAAGAGACAGAAATACTGCTATGAAAATAATAAACTGAAGTGCTTTACCAGCTAAGCATTACACCTTGCATATGCAAATTCTATTCCCATTTGTCTCAGTGAATTCCTGTAACAATTCCTTCTGCCAGTAAGCCAATACTTTCAGTTCTTCAACTGGAGGGTTTCTCTGGGTGTTTGAACACGGGGTTCATTTTCCCTTTTCTACCCAAAATCCAAATGCAAGAGGAACTTCTTTGGAGGAAGAATAATTTTGTGTTACTATTACGCTTTTAAATGTTACTAGGGAAAGAGAAAAGATTGAGACTGGAGATAGAATTGAGACAACAGCATGTTACTACAGCAGATATAAATAAAGCCTTTAGCTCAACAAGCTGGGCAAACAAAGGTGCAGGTACTATCTATATGTCAGAAGCATTACAAAAACTGTTCTCCCACTCTCTCCCTCTCCTTTTGCAGGCAGCTAATAGGACAATCTAATATAAAGAGACTGAAGGCTTTGTCTGATACCTCTTCAAAAAGTATTATTACCCAAATCTTGGCAGAGCAAGACATTGAGAGAAAAAAATGAATCTTTCATGTCTGAGGCTGTCTGACCACACAAGTACTTGACCCTGCAACACAGCAACTATAGATTATTGCTGAAAGGACATTTGTGACACTTCCTGGAGCCAAAGCTCTTATGAAGTCAATAAACACTGAACCACCAGAACAGCTTAAGCAAATGAACTGGCTTAAACCAATAGGATATTGCATTCGTAACAGTACTAGACTATTCCTGTAAATAGTAATCATGTATTTTCCATATTTCAAGATAGTGTTAACRTACAACTGCTTGTTAAGTATCTACACTCAATGAGCCAGGAGAGATGCCCATCACAAAGTTCTGGTGTGTTATTTCAAAAGGTGTRGTGTAACTGTGTTAAACACTTTCTTAAACATGGCTGTTCATACAAATGTTGAACCTTGTGTACATTATTTGTATAGCACCTTGGCAGTGTTTGTTCCCTCTAGATCTTAAAATTGATCTTTATATAAAACTATTCAAGGCCATCAATCTCTGCATAAGCAAATACATCTTTTAACRCTGCAGCACTAATATAAATACCAGYCATTCCAACCACTGTATCCCAGAATGAATAGGAAAACAAAGATTACATTAATCACATAGTCATACAGTAGAAGAAAGAACCAATATATGAGGTACAAAACAAAAGTAACTTCTAAAAAACGCCCACAAATCACACCTGCACTCAGAAATTGCTCATCACTTACTAAAAATGCTGTGTTTGTGTTGACTACTTTAAAGACACCCATATATCTGTAAGTTTTAAGCTTAGGATTCTTTCAGTTACCTGTTGCCTCCACAATATTGAGTGTTTTCAGTTGTACAAAATGCACATCWCTAACTGGAAGTACTGCTAGCACAAAAGAACTCAGATTTTGTAGAAATCTGGTATGTACCAGTCACAGCCTGTTCCCTGTGATTCACACCAGAACCAAACTCAAATGCTGACTACATTTTCAATAAGTTGTCAGTCAGCAGAGTCCTGAATATTTAATAATTTAATTATTAGAGACCATGAATTGCCCTCTAATAGCTGAAAAGATCTCATTATGCTGACAAATGCTAGGTCTGCAAGAACACTGGCAATATTAAAAAAAAAGAAATGGCCAAAAATAGCCAGGGTTTTCCACTCTGTTACCTAAAGATGAGTGGTTTTGAAAGGATGGTTATGATTTTGGGCTTTTTTCCCTGGAAAATATGAAACAATATATGCACTATGGGCTATTTTTAGATACTACTGAAGTGGGATTTTTTTCCTCGTTTTTGTTGTTTGTTTGTTGGCTTCCTTTTGTCCTTGCAGTGTTCCTTTTACATTGAAATGGACTTTACCTCCCTTTATCACAGCTCAGTTTACTGGAAGTACATATCTTCAGATTTTACTTAAATCTCAATTTGTTCTTATCAGCATTTAAATTTTAGTGCTGTAATCATTAAAATTCTCATGTAGTATTTGTTTATGATACTTGTATCACAAGTATCTTTGCTGTAAATAACAAAAAAATTCCAGTCCTTTGTCATTAAACAAACCAAAAGCAACATGATAYTTACTGCCACAAAGCTTCTGGTAATCACAGAAACAGYTCTAAGTATGATCCACCTATACTGSYTSTCAGATTYTCAAAATAATAGAAGTGGTGAAAGATTGTYCAGTATTTTCCATCAGATCTCAAGGAATTCAGATCTTAACTTAATATGCTGTCTATGGCAGATCCAGATATTTTAGATATTTTACCTCTATCTCCTGCAGCTGCTCCTGGTTTGTTGCACACATTTGCTGTAAGGATTCTTCTAGTTCAGTRTTACGGTCCAGTAGTGTCTTCCCAAGTTCAGCAGCAAGGTGAAGATCTAAACAAAGAAAACACATTTGCACGTGAGAGAAACAATAACGTAATCTAGTTCTACAGCATGTTATCAAATACCTGAGGTATTTTCTTATTGCTGTTATAACTGCTCCAAGTTATCTTCAGTACCAAAATGGAAGCTATCTTATATTTAAGCAGAAGAGGGTATTTATCTACCCTCTATAAAGCAAGTCTAAGTCAGCCCTGAGACCCAGCAGACCCTCTCATGTCATGGAACTTCCTCCCTTCCTGCACAGGCCCTTCAGACACCACCAGCCATGTTCCCCTCCCGCAGGGTCCCAGTGCTGCACCAGCTCTGCCCCAGCTCTCTTGGCTGCCTCACCATCTTTACAGCACCCACAAGAATAAGCACAGCAGACCCTTTCAATGTTCATCAGGCTGGTGCTAGGCCAAAGCCAATGAACTCTTTATTTACTTGACTGTTTCTCCCCATTACCCCTTCACCAGAGTTCAGGTCACTCAGGATCAAAGGGCTAAATGAAAGTTTCAGATGCTTTTTATGGTAAACAATAATATCAAAAGACATAAAACTGATGGAGACTTGCAGCTATTCTGCTTTTCAAGCTCGTAAACCCAGGTGACAATAATTGTTTCATGTGCTCCAAAACATCACTTTAAATGTCATTTGTTCTCAGGCACTTAATCTCAATTTCACTTCAGTCATCTTCAATCACCTCCAGGGTGCAATGACTGTAGTTGCTGCAAATTAAGAAATAAGTCATCTGAACACTCAGCTCCTTTTGAGAGGGAAGCTTGATATTTGCTCAACATCATCAGAAGTGCTAGATATTCTGTATTATTATGTTTAAAGACAAGCRTAATTTAAAAGCTAACATAATGTGACAAAGTAATGAATCTTGGTGTTAGTGCTGAAATTGTAATTACTCTGTGCAGGGTACTACATGTCAAGGATCCAACAGATTTCTAGAAATCTCTAATTTTCCACCTCCTTCCCTTCACGTGACCCATGACCTGTATACATGCAGTACAACCTAGTTAGTTCTCACATAGAACTTGTATCATTATTGGGAAAGAGACAGAAGAAAAGTCAAGAAAAACTTTGAGTCACAYCAAGAAGCCTTAAATTAGTAAAGAAGAGGCATATATTGCATCAGTAGTTATAGCCAGAGAAGAAAACACATCAATTCTAGTTTCATTTGATTGTGATGGCCTTTTTTAACATGTTATCCTACCTCTTTCCTGCCCCCTCTCATTTATCTTATCAGCCAGGAATTGTAAYACATGCAGTACTGCTCCGAGATTGTTTTGGGCTAACCTTCAGTTTGGCAGCCTGTCCAAAATGATTACTGCATCTCCATACATAGCCAAAGACCAAATTCAGACTTACAAGGACAAGACATTACAAACATTTGTCTATAAAGTTGTAGATATCCAATTCTGGCAAAACAACAGCTGTGCTATTCTTTACACATTCTTTACAGCCACAATGCAKTGTTTCCTACCTTAAGATCAGACTCTTAGCATAAATGCCATARAAAATTATTTAAAAGAAACCGCACTGCATGGGAGTTCTTCACAGTTTCAAAAGCTGTACAATTAGAAGGCACATGGTATACTGGTCTGTGTAGGAGTTTATCCTCACATCACTTTTTCACTGTAGCACCACTCATTATGAAGCAACCTATGCTAGAGCAGGATTTAAAGTATTGGGATAAAGAAACCTTAAGGCATCCTGCTTAAATTTTTCCCTTTTGGTAAACAGATTGCACATTGTTTGCTCATGCACAGAATAATTCCCAGTCAAACACTGAGTTGTTTGTTCTATCACATCACAGAATACTGTAGTCTCCAAATTCAGCAAATTCATTATCCTATGGAAAATGGAAATGGAGTCCTGCCTCWAAGTTCTTGTACTGCACAGATCTTTACCAGGAGCCACAATCTTCRAACCAGTACTAGCATCATTCAAGGCCAAGACTAAACAGTCTATTCTTTTATTTTAATAGAGTCGAATAAGAGCTTTAAAGAGGATTTAGGATTATGTTAAAGACATAATACATAATGAAATTACTACCATTTCCCTTCCCAAAGTGAAAGTTTGTTTTCATGTTTAAGTACATTTAGGAGTTWGTAGTTTTATTCTTAAATGCCCCCTCATCTACTAAATCAGGTATCACATACTACACAGTACTTGGAATACAAGGTGAATAACAGAATGCATGTCATACTTCATACTCATTCTGTTTGTCAGACTAGCAGAAACACAAATGGGTTACTGTGGGGGAAACATTATTTTAGAATTAAGACAATTTGCGTCTGATGGGGAGAATACAAGTGGGAGCCCTCAGAACATGCAATAAACCCTTAATGCTACAGAAAGCAAGTACTGAGGTAATTTCACATCTTTTAAAATTATGAATTTTTTTTCATCCATTCTTCTACACTGTCATGTACCTGTAAGACCTATAAAGAGCAAATTTTACAAGTGAGATGTGCCATGCATGTTTTCCAGATACAAAAGGGAAAGTGTTAATTTACATTTCTCTGGAGAGTGTTATAGTAGAACACTAGAAGCAAACTGCATTTTCTCTTGTAAATTTATGTAAAGCAACAGCTAAATTCTGACAGACACGCATTTTTCCTTTTCACCATGAAGATGGAAGCAGAGTGGCTTTTAATAATGCAAAATGCGTATGTGCAGATCTAAAGATCTTCGTTTTAGTAAATCTGATTAGTTGTACTGGTGTTTAACAGCTCCATGAGAAATCTCTAAACCAAAACAAGACTTCAAGGGTATGTCTTCTGTGATGTTGAACAGCCCTCACTTACCAGCACTTCACAATCTCTTCTGACTGCCTTACCACTATTAAAAAAGACAAAAACAGTACCAAAATCCTTCTTTTTCATAACCCATCTAGAAAAATTAATCATAGAATTTTCCATCTAAAATTAAGCCTGCTCTTTTAAACAGCAAAAAGCATTAATTGTGCAAAATATTTAAGTAAGCTTAGTTGAAGTTTGCTTAACTGTAAAATTAAACCTTTATTTTTTTAACTTAGTGTCCTATTTCCTATTTTGTATTCAGAATACACTGTTTGATAAAAGTGAGAAACAGCAAGATGCAAAAAGAGCGGTCATCTAAAAAAATTCTTTTTTAAAGGTCAGCATACTTCAGCAAAATATGGCAGAAGGATGGCTGTTCCCATCCTTACARGAATTCCATGAGCACTTTTGGCATGAACAGTATGCCAGAAAAGCCCATCTCCATTGTCAAGGCAAAAATCTTTGGTACCTACAAAGACTGTCGAAGATTTCCAAAACCCTGCCCTGATTTTAAGTTTCAAAGACKGGCTGACACAGACTTCAATCTAGTTTCAGGATGCTTTCTAATGTTTTACAACCTAGGCTCTCATAACTCATCAGTTTTTAAACATGCACTGATTGTTTGGGTTGTGAAGTTTCACGAGACCTTGATAAGCACTCTTACTACCCTGTTTACACACATGTGTGCGTCTTAGCTTTAGGAGCAGGAGGAGGAGTATCCTTCAGAGTCCAGAAATAAAGTATAGCACAACAATTYAAAAACATTCCTGTATGGAATGCGTTCTTTGCATTTCAACTTGCCCATCAGTTTATTTTCCTCCTTTTCCTTTTGGCAAGGCTGTTAAGTCGCTTTCATTTAGTCTTGAAAAGAGAGAATCCCCAAAAAAAGACTGTTCACATGTTGAGAGCTCATTAATCAACCCCCAGAACGCACTACCCTTCAGCATGGTATACTGTTCCTTAAAAGATGACAGCAGAGTCAACTGGTGATTATTTCACTCATTTTAATTAAAAGGTGAAAGTAGAGAAACATCAAGAAGGCAAGAAGTCAGTTGTTATACATTGTGAAGTCTCTCTGTAAATCTTGTATTCCATAAACAGTGATATAGCAAAAACATTATTGAATCATGTCTTCAAAATTTTCACTCTCTTCCGTTTGACAACTGTAGTTTCAGGATCTTACTTAAACCCATTTGTTTGTGTCCTAGAGYCAGGAAAACATCCATTTTGGGCGAAGAGTACCTAAATACAGCTTCCAGTTAGCTATTTTATATAGCATACAATTAGACTTGTTCCTGTCTCAAAGAAAAGTTTCTGCTGTCAGATCTCAGTGTGAATACTGCTTAGCTTTCTCTATGGTTTACAGTACATCAGCACTCACCAATCCCAAGAATTAATGGATTTCAATAAAAAAGCAAAACACACGAGACTACAGCAGGTTTGCAGGAAGCCACAGCTTTGAGGTGGCCTTTCAAAACAAACTCGGGATTAAGAACAAAAAGTAGAACTAAGTAACTTAAGTAAATACCAGTCATAAATGCCACTAAGCTCTTAAGGAAATTGCACATTCTTTCCRTACCATGCCTGTTAAAAAGATTTTTAGTGCAATTATACTTGTATTCCTGTGGTTCCTTTCTCATCTGTGAAATGAGAATGGCATTTACATCTTCCATGTAGTGTTTTAAGACCTATAGATGGAATTACATACAGTAGCTACACACGTATATTTCTGAGGCATAGTGAAGTTATTTGATATTTTAATAAGAAAAGCTAGAAAGTTTTTAGTAAGGGACCTGCGACTAATGGAGCACTGCTCCAGCTACAACTTCATCGACTGGGAGCCCTTACAAAGAACTCAACAGGGCGCAATAGCGCATCCAACCCCGGTGCTTCCAGCGCCTGCCCCGAACAGCASCTGCTTCACCTTGCAAGGTGCAACTTTTCCGAGAGCCGCTTCCCTCCCTCCGGGCGGAGAGGGACCCGGCACCATTGAGCCCTGCTGCCGCATCTCCTCCGCTCAGACAAAGACGGCCGCAGTCGTTACCGGTGACAGCGATCCCGCGGCGGCGGGAAGCGCGGCCGTGCGGGGATTYCGGGCTCCAACGCTCCGGAGCCCGGCACGACCGGCACAACCGACCCGCCCGCCGCCGCCACGCCACCCCCGGCCCCCGAGCCCCGTGTCCGCCGCCCCGCCCGAGCGCTCGGCGCCCCGCACCGGGGCTGTGCCGGTGCCTCCTCGCCGCCCGCCGCGGTGCCTTCCCTCACACGCCCTCCTCGCCGCAGCCCCTGCCCTCACACACCCCGCGCCCGGCTGTCCCCCAGCCCCTTGTTTCACACGCGTTCCTGCCCTCGCTCCGCAGCGGTTCCCCGCGGCCCCTTCCCTCACAAACCCGGCTCGCWGCGCTCCCTCCCTCACACGCCCCCCGCCGTCGCCCCGGCTACCCCGCCCCGGCTCACCTTGCTGCAGGTCCTGCTGGTCGTACCAGGGCTCATCCTCGCGAATCTCGAACTCCTCCACCAGGCTGTCGGCCAGCATCGCGCTCCTTCCCCTCACGGGCGGCCGAACCGGCGGCGCCCAGCCAACAATCGCCCTCGCGCCGAGCGGGGCACAGCGAGCCGGCAGCCGCTCCCCGCCTCAGCAGCCGCCTCCGGCCATTGCCGAGCGGYTCCGGACTTTGCCGAACCTCTCCCCCTTCTGGCCGGGCTGCGCCGGCGGCAACGTGGCAGCTGCTGCCGCCGCCCGCCCCCCGCCTCCCGCGATTCAAACACAGCACCCTCGCCTCGCCGGCGAGCAGCCAATGGGGAGCGGCCCGCCGCTCAGATCGAAAGGAAGCCGCACCAATCACAAGGGGAGTTTATAGCGAGTGGCCAATGAGAGCGAASAGGGGGCGGGACCGGGGAGCCGTGCCCCGCCCCGCCGCGCGGTGCGCAGCCTCCCGTCACAGGAGGTGGGTCCGGTGCCTGTGCAAGGGGCGGTGGTCGGCAGCGCTCTGAGGGGCTGATGGCGGGGAGCGGCTCCTGAGGGGTGTCWGCTGTTCTTTCGGCGGAGTAGGGCTACCACGGCCCGGGGTGGGACAGTGTGACTTGCTGTATGGAAAGCCGGGGCTCGTGGTCGCTCCGCGTTGGGAGCGCTGAGGGAAGAGCCCGTGAGGGGGGATCCGGCGTGGTGCCCAGGTGCGGGCCGCCTCTCCGCCGGAGTGCGTGAGGGCAGGGAAGGGCAGGGCAGAGCGGGGAGCGTGCGGGGTCACTCCGAACAGGGCTGGCTCCATCGGCGCGCCTCGCTCGGACGGCTGCCGCTCGCTCTCGCTTCTTTTCCACACAAAGCGGAGGGCGCCGTGTCCCCTCTCCAGGGACTGCTGAAAAAAAGGAGCGTAACTTGCCCATTCTTAATAAACGAAACGTTCTAAAGGTGCTGCTCTCCGAGCCCCACAGCGCTGGCGGAGCGGGCACCGGCCGGTGCCGCCTCAGCGAGCTCCGAGCGCTCCCCTCAGAGCTGCCCCTCGGCACCCGCACAGCGTTTATTCTGATTTCTGTCTTAATGTGCTGCAAGTCACGTTAGAAAGATGAGGAAGATACGTGTGTCCGACCAGTCTGTCAGGACTGTGAGCATTGCGCAGCGGTTTGGGACCCAGAACGGCAGAGCAGGATGTCARTGCGCCTCAGGCAACGTTTGCTATTATTTCTTAGTATCCATCCACTTTTCTTCTTTAGACTCGTGCTCTAGTTTCTTTTAGCAATTGTCACCCTGCACTGGGAGAAACTCAGGTAATGTCACACAGCATCTCACTGGCCAGAGCAGCCTGTACTTTTGGGCTCTGTATTAACACTGTAGTTGTAACCACTACGTGTTTCTGAGACCGATTTGCCTTCTGTGAGTCACAAAATGTCAACACCTGTGCTTTAACCTGCTCRATATAAAGGCTGACTATTAAGAAGAGCAGGGGATGCTCATGCATGATTTCATTGTAGTGCTATTAAAGGGAGCATTGGGGGAAGGAAGTGTGGAACCTCAACTTCTAATTGAACCTATTTCATAAACAAAGTGCAGGGCCAGATGTACCAATTAGGGTAGAGTTGCATATTACAATTAGTCATGGTACTGGAGACCAGTTGCGCATTGTTAGAAGATTTTTGCTGAAGAAATTTTAAGTATCTTCCTTCAAAGTTTCTGAAGCTCAGGAGACTTTTTTATTTCTATAAGGGTCAAAACGTCGAGTCAAACGTGATTTGAGAAATGACTGTTTGCTGGTAATGTTAGTGTGAAGCACTATTTTGTTCTTGGTGCTTATGGAATTTGAAGGAAATTAAAGTCTCTCAGTTYTCCCTTTTGAAGAACTGTGCAGGGTGCTCCAGCTAGAAATAGAGGTGAAGTGTCTTACCTTTCCAAAAGCCTTCATATCTACTATATAAATCACTTCATTAAGTGCATTTGGGAAGGCTTGAAAAAGCAAATGTGACACWTGTCAATAACATACCCATTGTAATGACTTTCATATTAAGATCAAACTTAAAAATAAACATTCGAATTGGAAATCTTTTCAATAATCTTAATTTTAGATTTCTCAGTAAAAGATTGTGAAACCAAACTTGCTACAAAAATGCAAAACTTTATCCCATGAAGAAGGTGTTGTCTCTAGTTTTCTAGCTGTAGAAGAATAACTGAAGACACACATCATGGTCATTCTCAAATAATTTGAAAATCAGTCATATTCTTAGAAATAAATTTGCTTTACTAAAACGAATCGTAGGGATCCAGTTGTTTGTCACTTGATCTTTTCCTTAGCTATAAAGTGAAGTTATACGGTGTCTTGTATCACAAGACATATATGTGCATATATATGTAAAAATGCATCCACACTTTATTTGCTCTTCAAGAGCTCATTTTTGGTGCTGGGGGATGGAAACACTGATGGAAAYGTTCCATCTTCCCCAGTCCCTACCTGATTTGTGGCTTTTGCGTGGTCCTTACCCAGTGATTGGGAGGTTCCCCCTTTCCTGCCCAGCAGCCTCTCCTCAGCCGCCTTGTAAACCACAGGAAGGCTGGAAACAGCCTTGGCTTTCATTTCCTGTTTCTTCCATGGTTATTTTTATGAGTTGTTCAGGGAGCTGCTTGTAGAGCTGCTGATCAAGCAGATATTCAAACTAGGTATTTTGATGGATATGTGAAAATTGCRTTTAGAATAAAATTGTTAATATGCRGAGGAGCAAAGTGTGARCTATTGACATAAAGCAGGTTGTAAAGCTCTGCATAGTGAGGCTGAAATTTGAACCTGAGGTATCCCAATTAATGGCAGACAGTTTTCTTCAACAGATGTAAAAATGAATAAAACCTCAGTCAAAAACAGATACCTGGGAGTATTTTTGTATTTGGATTATAGAATCAAGTATGGTCAAGGACTACTTTTAGGTAGCTATTAAACAGCTTTAAAAGACAGAGATTGCCTGGAGCTGCCTCTTTTCATGGCATAGTTTACACCAAATATGCTCAAGTTAATTGCTGATAGATGGAAAAGGTCAGCACCTTAAAAATTTGTTGGCTGAGTATCTGAGTGATAGATTAAAGAAATCTGTATTCTTGGGCTGAATCTCTGTGATTTGGGTGTATAAATGCTCTGTGCGTTATTTGCTATGTTTTACTTACATGCATTCTTGTGTACGATGAAAATGTTAATTTAAAGGTGTTTTGGTTTGGTTGTTTCATGTCTTAGTAGGTGAAAATATTGCTTCCTTGACTTCTTAACAATTAGTATTTTARAATAGAAGGACAAAAGTTGGTATTTGTTTTGAAATAAATACTCCCCTATGTGCACGCTGCATTTGGCATTCATAGTAATGGAATACAAAAGGGTATGAGTTGAGTCACTTCATTCCAGCACAGTTCGTAATTTTAAGAATATACACCTAGCAAAAAAGATCTAAATTGTATGCAATTACTTTGAACTCTACACCAAGAAGCGTGTTTTCAATAGGCAGGTTTTAAGTAGAGTCTGTGCATCAGTTAAGAAGGGATTCTTTTCATTTTTTGTCTACTTGTTCCATTGACTTTTAAGCACTGATTATACATAGAAATGTCACCAGCTTCTTACTGTTTTGGGCTCAGTGTCTTGTAACTCAGTAAAATGTGGTTTTCATTGAAAAAATTGAAGGAAGAATGGGAAAAATTGCCTCAGATAATCCATTTCTGCGCCTCTGAAACAAGCAAATCCCCCAATGTTATTTTAATTCGGAAAATTATTCTACTAATTGTTGTAATTCTCTTTTGTAACTTGAGGAAGAAGAGAGCTGAACTSTTGGAAGATGAAGATTGTTTGGGGAATTCATACAAACGCGCTGGCATATTCCATGACTACCTTAGGTGCTGGAATGATGAACAGTGTCTTTAATTTCTACTACGTTAAGCTTTTCCTAAACCGATACAAAATTTCAGAAGCAGCATTGCATGTAGCACAGGTACTGTACAATGGAATAGTTGATTACTGTGTTGTGCTATGCTTCTGTGTTATTACAACAAAGTGATTTTTTTAATGACAGATTAATTTTGGGATCATTGCAATTAATTAACAGTAAATTAACRTTGAATGTAGGTAATCCATAAGCAACGGAACTTACACATAAAACACATTTACAGTCYTTAGAGTAAAAATCTCTAGACTTAATTGCTGAAAAGATTTTTACCTTTGATAGCTTGAAGTAATTTTCTAAACTGATCTTGCACCTCAGCTCCACAGATAAGTTTGACATTAGAGCTTTCCTATGGACTGTTTAAGTACTTAAATAGTGCATTTATCCTGCAGGTCATTATCCACGTGAGTAACTCTTGTCGTAAATGGTCTCCTGAAAGTAATGGGCCGGCTCATGTTTTGAATTAACTTGCTGTGAGAATAATGCCTGAGCTTTGCAGGATGAAAGCTCAGATACCTAAGGTTTTGAAAGAGTGAAGTGTTAGARATGGGAGTTTATTTCACATGTAGTTGGTTAGGTAATTACTTGTGTTTTTCAAAATTTTTATAAACCTATGAATACTGCTAAGRATTTGCTCTAGAATCTGTTTTGAGCCCAGTAGCTTTTCTATTGATTTACTTATTGTCTGAATAGAGATTTATTTAAAGTAAATATGTTACATTTGTGTAGAACGGTGCTGGTGACAAATTCCCTTGTTTGTGGCAGGTTGTGTTCATGATCTGGAATGCCATCAACGATCCTCTTTTTGGGTACATTCAAGACAACTCCAGTCTGAAGTGCTGCGCGAGGCGCCAGTTCTCCATCCTGTACGGAGCCCCTCTGTACGGGCTGGCYTTCCTGCTGCCCTGGTTCCCCTGGAGGCACTATGAGGAGGGGGACTGGCTCAGTGGGCTGCACCTCAYGGTGGCTCTGTGCACCTTCGATGGATTGCTGACCTTCGTGCTGCTGGCGCAGTGCGCGCTCTTCACCGAGAGCTCCAGCAGGCACGAGAGCAGGCTGCAGCTCATCAGGTACAACCAGGTGGCCACGCTCCTGGGCTCCAGCAGCGTGCTCTTCTGTGGGCTCGTGTCGGATAACATGGAAAACTTGGCCTATTTCCAGGCTTTCGCTGTTGTGATCGCGGCGTTAGCGACGGCGTGCATGTGTTACACGGGGAAATACAGCACCACGCAGTATGAGCAGAGAGAAATCTATACAGACACTGCYAATCTGGACAGCACTGATGGAGCTTTCTCCTGGGCTTCGGTAGTTTCATTGACCAAACAGATCATGACAGAGAAGAACTTTTTATGTTTTGTAACAATGAACTTCTTCCAAGTCTTCCACCTAGCCTTCTGCAACAATTTTATGATGATCTTTGCGGATAATCTTATCCCTAAGGATGTCCTTCCTTCCTCARTAAGAAGTATCATGTATGGAGCAGGTTTTATTTGTCCTCAGGTAGGCAGTCCTACTTTTTTATTTCTAGATATGAAAATCTGGTGTTCTACAGCCCCCATCTTGAAAAAATGCTGTATTTGGCACAAGGCATTGGCCAAAATAAGTAACAAATCTCACTCCCCAATGCTCCGGAAGAAGAAGGTTCCTCTGTGCAGGCTGACCAAATATAAAGGACAGAGAGAGCAGACAGGCAGGCTGGTAGAATATATGTTTACAACAACGTGAGACGTGAGTAAGAAAGGAATGAATGTTTTGTATCCTAGTGCTTATAATACCTAAGTATAAAGGAATGAAAACCAGCCATGATAAAACATTTCTAAAAGCAAAATCTACAGATTTCRGAATTAATTTGTTTTGTTTTCTAATACTTTGTATTATAAGTGAAAGACTAATCTCTTCTTCAGGAAGTTTCTGATATAAACTGCACAAAATACCAGAAAAATATAAAGAAAGTAAAAGAATTGTTGAAATATGTKGTGTCTTAGTCATGGAAGCCAAACAAAACTCTAAATAGCTGGTTTTGGAGAAATAAATCAGAAGCTGCAGAATTAGGAAAGCTTAAATAATTTTACTCTTAATATATAGCAATCACTTTTATTGATAAAATCAGTGTGACAGTGTGAAAAGAACAATCTTTCAGAAAATGCGTCTCTCTCTCTCTGCTCCCCAGAGACTCTTTGTCTGGAAGGTCACTGAACCRTAGAGGGTTTGCTGTGACCTTATTTTTCTCAGGTTTTGTCCCTTTGAGCTCAAGATATAATAAGAGAATTCTCTGATGGCAATGTCCTGAACTTYACTTACTGGTAAAACACCCAAGCCTTGTAAAATAAAGCTCCTTTTTATGAACTCTGCTTCAGTGGCCTCTACTAAACAGGAATTCAGCCTCTGATTTAGGTTCCTTTTAGAGGTGGATGTGAGGAATCCAACCCGCCCACAAGGAAAATGTTGCTGTAACACAGGCAAACAACTTTGAATTTGCATCATTAAGTTAGTATTTTGSTTACAAATACACCGTCTTAGAGACGTGCAAGTAATGAGGAATTGTCTAAGTCATAAGTACTTCCTGAGACAGAGTTATTTTGCAATTACAGGGAGACAGGAACATGGTGTTTACAATGGCAGGCCTTGCATGATCCTTTAGTGTTTCTAGTGGAGACACTTTTCAGCAAAATCCCTGAAAACAGCCAGGGGGGAAGAGTATGCTTTAAGTTTCTTATGACAAGATGTTTTTCTCACACCAACTTTCCAGATTTGTTTTACCTCCCTGATCAAGTAGAAATCCTGAGCTTTTTTACAATAGCATTTGTCACGGTGATCTTTGTCTGACCGTAGCATCCTGGTTTTATTTGTTATGTTAAAGCAGTTCAGTGTGGGAACAATTGTGCAAGGAAAATTCTTTCCTGTTCTTCATCTGAATATTACACATTTCATCTCTGTAACATAGAAGAAAGGAGAAAACGTGTGTCTTTGTGTATTTGTGACAGAGTTGAGGATCATGTACATGTAGATGGTGACATAGGCCCAAATAGTAAAAATAACATCATTCCTTACAGRATGTCCTGTTGGAAGTGGAAAGTGAGGAACAGTGTAGAAGACCTTAAATTTTGTTCGTTCTGTAATCAGCACTTAAACCATTTTCATGAGTTTGTCTGTCACTAGATTCTCAGAATCTACTYCTTGCCAAGATTGGCAAAATGAAAACACAGCCATGCACATGCACTGGCCTCTGCCTTTCTCTGCTTGCTGGTAAAATCTCTGGGTTAGATAAAAATGTCTTGGTGAGCTTCTTTTGTCAACTTAAAAATCATGTCTAATTGCTGTAAAAGTCAGTGAAAGTAGTAATATTAATGAAAAAAATTAGTGAAAATATTTCTCATCAGCAGTTAAAATCCAAATGGCAAGATGCCTGATTTACAGCTAACATACTGCCAAGTTAATTACTTAAGGAATATCGAAAGTAAAGATAATGAGCATTAAATAATAGCTAGCCATTGTGGGAAACAGTATTTTCCTCAGGATATAGCAGTTGTCAGCTGGTTAGTTTTTGRGTGAGACTGTACCTAGTAGAGGTAGCATAGAATCAGCCAATAGACAATTCTCTTTGTTCAATTTCTGTTTTTTTTATTTTGTTGAACTTCTTAGAAAGAGTTGTTGGTTGTTTTTTTTTTTTTCTTTAAAGGTTATTAATAATTTATGTCAGGTCTGTTTTTTAGCTCTCCTGATGCTGACACACTACTGCATCTTTTCATCCTCTATGTGTATATATTATCTTTTCAGTGCCTTGTTCTTCTCAGTCATGCTTCATTGAAGAAGTTTGGTTATTACAGAATCATCTTGTTTTCCTTTTACTACGAAGGAGTAGCTGCTGCTGTCATGTGTCTTCTCGGGCAAGAGCACTATTATCTGTTGGCATTTTATCTCACAACAAACATGTAAGTAAATTCACTCCCCTGTAACAGACACAGCTGAAATACTTCTAACAGAGTAGACACTTGCCTTTATTATCATGAAGATTCTGCCTTGGCTTTTATGGTTTACATTCTTTTTCACTTGTCAGAAAAGTTTAAACTCAAGTTTAAACTTTCTTTTTCAGCTTTCATTTTATTCTGTTTCAGYGTTTAATTTCTGCTTAAAATAAATTTTAAAGGCCTTAAATTCAAACAGCAATTACAGTTTGCAGGCACATGCCTCCAGTCAGTTCAGCCTGAGATTCAAGGGAAGGAGAATGTCATGGTTTTCACATAAACATGGCACAGCTCAGCAGAGGAACTCCCCAGAGACTGTTTGCTAGGAAAATTCAGCCTTCACCCTGTATTACAGAACACTTGTGTGCTGCACTGCAGATAAATATGGATAACTCAGGTGTCTGTTAGGTAACCAACTCTGAGTCACATTTCCACTGGCACTCAGCAGTGTGATGCCAAGAAGTTGTATTTTCATATAAGTATATAATGATACATGGAAAACCTCTTAAGATAAAAAGCTGTTTGTATCAGAATATTGTTACAGCAGTTTGTTTTTATTTCTTCGTGTTCTCTTTTCTTTGCTGTCTTTCTACATATTCTTTCCTGCCCTTACTGATAATGTAAGTTTATTGTCAAAGTATTCATGTTCTTTTACACCAATGTCCAGGAAAAAAAAAAGGGGAAAAAAAACCCTCGTACCTTTTAATTCTGCATATTGATTTCTAATTCTCAACTAAGAACAGATCTAGTAATGCTTTCAGATAGATCACCATGTTTTAAAGAACGTCTTAGCTTTGTGTGTTTGCAGAAAAWCAGTGTTGGTGTGTTTGTGTTAGAATGTCATTGCAATTTCATGATGGAAGTGAATATAAGAACTATGAAAATCTCCAATATTTTGTTTTTCTTTAGGGTAATTGTACAAGCTTCATTTAGCTTGTTCAATTTGCCTTTGGCAGATATCGTTGATGCAGATTTAATAAAGCACAAGAGGAGGTACGTCAGTCATTACTGAAATTTTTGAAATATGCTGTTTGCCTTGTAACTGTTTGGTAATAAATGATGTCAGAGTAAAGATGGTGAATGATCTGAGATCATTCATACAAAARTACTTTTTGTAAGAGCAACTTAGCATAAGTAAAGATCAGAACTTGGGTGAAGTTTCCTGCAGTTACTTCAGTAGAGTCATTTAAACAGATTAGCAGGTAATTTCTAATTTTTATTAGACTGTGCTATAAGCCAAGTCCTTCAATTCTTGTGGCTTTATTTTTTGTTAGCTTCAAYTGAATTATTTTGTAACTATATACATAATCATACTACATCTGYAGTCATTTATGGCATTTTCTGAATAAGGCCTTTTTGAGACAGAAAAGATGTTAAGAAAGCTTTGCCTATGCTACCTAAAGTGCAGATTTCAAAGTCTAAAGTGATAAAACCTGCTGCAGAATAGCATATTGCAACTCATTAATCTTTTGGGTTTTTATCAAAGTGCACATAACTTCCTGTTGGTTCCATCWTTGGTTACATAAGTGCATATTCAGTCCTGTTAAAGAACATGCCCCTCAAAGATCTATTGCTTTCATGAGGAAAAAATTGCCTCATTTTCTGGCTGATGCATGCGAAATCTGAAGTTGTAATTAATTCTTCATGCACTGTTCAGTCTAATTTAACTTCAGAATTAGTCAAAGTGCACAAAGTTGAGCTTGAGTACAAGTAATTTCAGAATTGGGGCCAGCCTATGTGCATGTGTATATATATGTGTGTGTGTATATATATATATATATTTAAAATATATATATACACACACATACATACCCCAGAGGTTTGTAACCTTTAATTTCCAAATTTAAATTCCATTATGGTAGCAGATCTGTTTGCTAAAATGTGAACTAGATAAAGCTAAGGATCAGGATTTTTCATATTTGCATATTAACAGGATTTCATTATTTTTAAAATCACAATTTGTAATTAATACACTAATGGTTTGTATTGTGCATTAATTTGGTTTTTTTTCCCCAACTATTTTAGATTACCACTTTCCTCCATGGTTTTTGGAACCAATGCTTTATTTACCAAGCCTGCCCAATCTTTGGCTCCAATGGTTGTGGTTACAATACTAAATCATTATGGATATAAGAACCTGAATAATGTACCTGGTCATCCTGATATAAGGTGAGTTCAAATGAGATACTTTAAATCTTAGAAGATAACATGAAATATTTCTGTAATCTAAAAAGCAAATTGATCAGTAATTAGTTTGCRTCAACTGCACTTCTATAAACACTTTAAAAATGCTTATCAGCTGTTCTTGTCTGTGTAGAAGTACCAATACTTTTAAAGAGTTTATTGAACAATACACATGAGGAGCTATCTACCTAATTTCAAAAAGCAAAGGGTACATTTCTGTAGCTGAGATGATTTTTGTTCTTGTTTGGGTTTGGGKTTTTTTTTTTAGTTTATCTTGATTTTTTTTTTGCTATGGAAAAGATCCCTAGCTTAAAACCTCCCTCTCCTGGAGAGCCACTGCAACTACTGCCAGCTTCTCTTGAGAGTGCTTCTCAAATTCATTCTTCAGAATGAAGTTATTTGGCAGCAACTCTTCATTATTTATTGAAGGCACTATAAACTGTTAATGCTTTCATATTGAATTACTGAACTACATGAAATTCTGTTCAGAGTGATGTTAGGGCTGTTTAGGAAAATATTGTGTGTTTTATTCCTCTGTGTGTGCACGAAGAAAAAGGTAGTTGTGAAAATATCTGAGGTTACTTGTTCAGCTGTAATTGTGATAAAATCCAAGCTCTGCTCTTGATTTATCACAATCCCTTAATGAAATACTTTCCTGTTGGATGTTGTGTGTATTACAGGTATTTCTCATAATTCCTGCAATGGTTTAGGGTTTTACAGTACAATAGGTAATATTATTTTATTGAATCAGTATTGTTGCAGTGAAACCACATCAGGATTACAGAGTGTGAGTGATTTTGCAGATGTTCTTTGTGTAAGGAATAATGTTAGTGCTGCCAGCTGCAATCCTCATTAGTGTGAGAACAGGGCAGATACAAACCCAGCATCCTGTTGTGTCCTGGTCCTGTTCTCAGTGTTGGGTGCTATGCTCCCTGCTGGGGCTCTCCTGGGGCAGTGGGGTGGGCACAGTGTGGGCTCCTTGCCCTGTGGGTGCACTGGAAATGCAGTCAGATACAGGGCAATAAAAGCTCCAAACAGTCATTACTGGCACTGCCAACAAACCCTGGCTGTGCAGCAATGGCCTGCTGGTGAACAATTCCAGCCACAAATGCAATTGAGTGATTCAGTGATTCCTTGTGAGCCTGGAGGTTTTTATTTCCTTTATTTCCATTGCACGTGCATGAGTTGAGATAAACTGTGCTCATTTATGAGCTCGTGTCTGTACTAAGGATGGGATCTGCCCTATGGTGGAGGTTGCAGACATTTTCCTTGTTAAACCAACGCGACATGAGTTGGTTCTTTTAGGCTTCAGAGGAGCTTTTGGGTTTTACTCTAAAACCTACTCAAGGTTTGGGGTGCTTTTCACAGATTTCAGGTTTTTTTGGATCATGTCCATAGCTGTTCTGTGAGTCTCTTATCTCATCCCTGAATGCTGAGGAAAAAAATTAGAATGTAACATAAACTGCCWCATGGAGAGAAAGTTCACTTAGGGGCTGTTTCTCAGCTTGAGTTGACTTTCCTGATATTTAAGTAATTAGAATCCCATAATTAACAGAATGCAAGTAGATAATGATTCCAGCTACTAGATGAATGCCAAAATGCATGCTTTGAGCTGTCAGAAACCATACTGCTCATAAAAGGGAGCTCATTTAATTCCTGTATTTTCCTTTTTCATTCATATTTGCTGATGCTTTTATTTCTTTTTCATTAGAGAAGATTTAGATGAGGAAATGCCATGCATTCATTAGAATAAATTAAAATGAGTGTTAATTTCACATGTATTCTTTCTGTGGTTTATACTGTCTCATAATCCATTTATTTTAAAACCATATGAAATAAGACTTGATATTTCAAACAGCTCTTAAGACCACACCTGAATTTTGTGCAATTATTGTTACTTCTATCTAGCACTCAGCAACTAAATTCACTATGTGGATAGCTAATAGCACCAATTTTAACTTAAATATATTAATATTAAAATGTTTTCTACTTCGCTTTCTCTTCCAGATTTTTCAGTCTTATAAAGCTTTTCAGAAGCTCTGTTCAATAATTGGATGAAATTTGCTTAAATTGATTTTTATATTACATAATATGGATGAGTAGGAGAGTAGTGAACAGGATTTCTTAGGTTGCCTACAGTGTGTTMAAATGAACTAATTGTGTGCTAATTGTCTGAATTCCTCCCAGCTGGAGAAAACAACAGAAAATACATATTTGTATGTAGAATTAGAAAATACACAWGGTGTTTCTTTTATTTAGAATTGGCTGTAGAGTAGCATGTCTGTGTGTATATAATGGGAATGCTTTAAAAACACCTTGTTTAGTGCCCATGGAGGTGAATTTYCCTTCCACTGAAAGCTGTGTTCTCATGTTTCCCAGGTCATTTTTAGATCTCCATGATGCCATGTTCTACCTGATCTGTCTGGTTCCCCTGTGCATTGCAGTCCTGCAGATCCTCAGCTGGACTCACTTTTCCATCCAGAACAGCCACCTGTTCTGAACACACAGCCACTGCTCACTCCATCTCCTCTCAACCACCAAAGAGTTCGTGAGTTTTTCATGTGAGAAAACAAAACTGCAAGATGAAACACAGTTTGAGCTGTTTCAGTAAAGTTGCATTTTCAGTCTGTATAGACTATAAATCACATTCAGCCTTCATGCTGAGCCTACRTGAGTTTTTCCTAGTTTGGTTGCTTTCTGTCAATGGGTTTTATCCTTAATTACTTTATTTAAAGTAATTTCTGGTATATAATGATTCCTGTTAATTCACTTGAAGAAAGGATATGGCAGATCAGGCAAAGGAATCCCAACCCAGCTCCTGGAATTGAAGGGAACTGTATTTTCTTAAGCTTTCTGGTGGACTAATTTTGCYTACTGATAAAATGGCAGATCTCTGAAGTTAATCTGGAATATCCTGGTGGACATTCTTCATGCATGGCAGGGAGATGAAGAGAAAAATTTAGATGGTGTCTTGCTGGCCAGTATCAAGAGAAATCTGACAGCCACCATGAGAAGAAATTCTGTGTAAGGCTAAAGAAGAAAAAGATTAAAATGCTGTTCAGTGGTGCTGAATATGGAAAAAGCTCCGTAACTCCTCACTGTGAATGTCACTGGTTGGTGGAAGGTCAGTGCAGTTTTCTAGCTTTAAATGGGAAAATAATTTTGAAGGTAGCATATTGTCATTGTGGAGAGCATTGGTCTGTGGATGTAGTGAACAACACTTGGACAAATCTGAGCACACAGAGTTATTAGAGTGAGCTCTACCTGCTGGGTGGTGTTACACTGGCAAACTCATTTGGTGGTGACAATTGAAGTAGATTAATTTCTGATTAATTCTTACCAAAATATATTCAGTCACGCTTTTATATGGATCCTGTGATTTTTATAAAATAAAGGGGTTCTGACCAAATTTCAGAGACAGAGTCTTGTTTTCATTTCCCAGCTTGTACTGATAAGACACAATAGCATGTTTCCAATACTCTCATTTAATCAATATTATTCTTCCTCCAGTATATCTGCCATGTAACTGTGCAGTGATAAATGCCTTTACCACAATATAATCATTGCATGTTTGTATTTTGTTTTGCCTAGGCAAATACAATTTTAGAAGCACCTTTCTTAGGCAGTGCCAGTCCCTAAGAGTACAGGAGCGTTGTGTGGATCCCATTTTAGAGGACTGAGGCAGTTTCTTTTCAAGGCTCTGCACTTCCTGTGACAGGTAACTTGGAAAAGAAAGCAGTGTAAGAAATGGCTCTGCAYTTTGGTGGACACTGGAATGGTTTAATGAAGGAGTTTGAGATTTGAAATGCCACAGTTGAATACTCATTTGTGCCTCTGTTTTTACATTTGCAGGGTAAAAATAACATAATTTCCTTGCCTTTTTTGAAGYGTGAAGCGCTTTCAAGGCGATGAGTGAAATAGTGGGAGAGCATCATTAAATATTTAGAAATCCAAATGAATCCTTTGATAGGAATATGAAGATTTATGTTCAAATGTAAGAAGCCAGAAYTGTGGTGAAGTTTGAAGTTGCCTTATCTGGTTTTTATCTTTCTTGTCAGAGATACCTTTCCCCATTTGCATTGTGCATGGTAACAGCATTATGTACACATACAGCATCACTTGTGTAAATACTCTGTGGATAGGTAAATACAAATAYCAGAGTGGATACAGCCTGTGTGCTTAGATTTTGAATTTGAAAAGATTTCCTGCATTGTATGTATTTATTTTATGTCTGAAAGGCAGGAGAAAAGTCGAAGGAATTTAAGTTAATATGATCTTTGATTCATTATATGAAACAGTCTTGTTCCCGACAGTTCCTTTAAAATGGTAAGAACTTTAAATAGTCTCTTTTTCTTTGCTATTTCTGTATTTCCTAAATTTCCAGTGTTTAGCTTATCCTCATAGAATATATGTTTTAATATATACAATAATATAATGTACCACAAACAGGGTTTGTTAGGTGAATTTGTTGGTTATTTCTAATATTAAGTTATTCAAATAYAGTGTACAACTGGAGGAGTATTGTGCTATACAACAGGAAATCTAAAAAGTGTGTTTAAGAGTCAAGAATTCTTTGAAATTATCAGAATATTTTTTTCTGGAAAATGTCTGRTAAAGTCACCATTTATTTGCTGAAGTAGGAAAGGAGTAAGGAGTGATATGACTCAAAGCACTGTTTGAATAGGCCCTACAAACTGCTGCATCTCTAGRATTTGGATAGGAAATGTACATCATCAAACATTTCTAAGCTAGACAGCCTGAAGATAGGAGACATTAACAGTGTAATAAAGCAGTTTAGAAAAAACAATCTGAGAAATACAAGACAAATTATTTAATATGTAAAATATTAATAATTTTCCAAATTTATGATTCCCATTATTTTCCCATTTGTCTGYCCTATTTCCTTTGCTGTAAGGGCAGGATAAAAGTCTTTCATAGCCTCAATAGTCAATCCAAAAGAAGACTGGAGAAGTGCTTTAATTTTGGGTGGTAGTGTTCCTACAGGACTGGAAGGTTGGCACTGTGCTGTGACTGACATTGCTTATTCTCCATTTCTCTGTCACCCTCTAAACTTTGTTATCCTCTGCTAAACCTACACGATTGGTTTTGGCTGTGAATCAAGTAGAGGATGATCAAAGGCAAAAGTTCAGTGTCTTGCAACAGCTGCTTTCCCTGCTTTCTCTCCTGATTAGCCAGCACTATCTGAGCTTGAACTCCCAGTGCTGGAAAAATGCCTSCATTTAATCTTGATAATTTCAGTGTCTAAAATAGTCTCATAACTGATAAAGAGGCTGTAACTGTGTGTATAGTATGAAATATGAAATGCTGTGGTAAGTTCAGAGGAGGAGAAATGTGATGCTTGAATCCCACTCTTAAGAGTTTCTCTATAAATTCTGAGAATAAGGATCTTAAGACACTGAATGAATTTTATTTATTGAAAATCARTAAGTAAAATGTCTGCTAGACTTAAAAGGATTTTGCCTGATAGACACTAAAGAATGTTAGTCTAATATAGTAGTRATGTAATATATGGTCAGTGATARAGTGCAAATATTGAATAAATGACARCAAAGCATATTTAATTTTAAGGGAGGGAAAATGATATTTTGTGGAGCTTAGAGGCCCACCTCTGTTCTGGTCTTGTACAAAATTGCCTTCCCAGTGTCCTGCTTTGGAATGCTCAGTAATTCATGACCATACAGTGTTGACATGGCTGGTAGGAATGTTTACATTGGGATACAGTTCCTCAGCCTAATGGTGCTGTCAGGAAAGACAGCAGGAAGGGGGAGGAACACTAAAGATAAGCCACGTCTCCACAAGAACTTCTGGGCACTTCCTTGCAGAATTCAACCAGCTCAGGGAAAAAGCTCCAGCTGGTTTTGGAAAGGAGCATGGAGGGAGCTGTCCTCAAGGTCTGGACAGACCCACAACTGCGCTTCCTGGGTTTGGGGAGAGGATTTTAGATATYTGTGTTTACCTTAAAGACCTCTTTCTGGTAATCCCCTTTTTACTAATGCTTAAATAATAGAAGAGAAAGTTGTTTTGGGACTGCAGTTCATTGAGAAAATTGAGGATTTGCATGTTAGACTACGTGAGGCTGTGCAGCCAGCCCTGCTCCAGGAGCTCCTTAAGATCACCACAAAGCAAAAATGGTGTGTGAAACCCTTGGGGTGTGTTTGGCACCTTTCAGACTCCAGGGATCCAATTGATCATGGAAATGTTCCATCAAGACAAAGAAAAAATGCTATCCAAATAGTGGGGCAGAACATGGAAAAAAAGTGATTCCATTGTTTCTGGAAATCCTCTCCCAGCACACTAATTGCTTCGAATGACAAAGCAATATCCATACACAACAAATGGTTTGCTGAGATTGTCCAGCAATTGTTACAGCTCCACCAGCCCGTATGCAAATGACAGTACATCAAAATTATTACCTAAATATGCATGAAGAGTGAGTTCTTCATAGCTTGTCAAGAGAAAAATATGCTGAGTATACAACTACTGCATCAGAATATTAATGGCAAATGTAATGCTGGGTAGGAATTTTGAAAAATCTCACTGAAAACACCCAGGTTGTATGCTAACAACGCAAAGACAAAAGGTAGCAAATTTCTTAATTTGATTAGTATGCAATCAATTATCTGTGGTTTTGGTGTGATAAAATCAAGATATGCTTCCCTGTGTACAACACGTAGCTAACCTGAAGTAATTTTATTTATTGGTTTATAAGCAAATTTAGCTTTTGTCATTCTGTCTTTATAAATAAGAAAAAGCATGGAAAGAAGAGTCTTAATCCCAAACCAAATGAAAACAGACCAAAAAGGCGTTCTAGCCCATCTAGCTATTGGAGAGGAAAAAAAAATACAGTCTTCAGTGGAAAACTGTCTAAAGGTCTCAAGTCAAAAACTTTCTGGTGGTTAAGTATCAGTGAAAATTAACACAAAAATTGTCTGGCAATATTCTGTTGCTCTCGTTTTTCTGATTTCCCAGGATAAGCCAGKTTGGATGGGATCAGTGCTTGATCAGAGGAGGTTCCAGGTGAAAACCAAGAGCAGAGAGGGCTCTGACTTCCAGCGCCATCCTCAGCAGGAGATGAAGGGCAGCAAACAGGTCTGATCGCAGAGGAACCCCCGCTCCCCGATGCTGTTCAGGAACGGTGGTTCTGAGCCGCGGCCTCGTCCCCTCAGTCCTCATCCCCTCAGTCATCCCCTCAGCCCCCCGTCCCCTCATTCCCATCCCCTCACCCCCTCATCCCCGTCCCCTCAGCCCCTCATCCCCTGTCCCCTCATCTCCCATCCCCTCAGCCCGGGTCGCTCTGGGTGACAGGGCGCGCTCGCGGGTGACAGGGCGGCACCGAGCCCGTGCCGAGTCCCGCCCGCCGCTGCCGGCGGTGCCCGGGGCGGGGAGCGAGGAGCGGGGAGCGAGGAGGGGCCGGGCCGTTCCGCCAGCCCGCCCTGCCGTGCCCTGCCCCGCTCCGCTCCGCTCCGCTCCGGTTGGAACGCGGCGCGGCCCCGCCCGGCATTGGCGCGGCGGAGGAGGCAGCCAGGCCCCGGCGTGTCGCAGCCAAGGCGTCCGGGCGGGTTCCGCTGCCGCGGCGGCGCGTTCCGCCCGGAGCGTGAGCGCGGGCCGCGAGCGGAGCCGCCGCTGCCATGGAGCGGGGGGTGGCGGCGGCGCGCGGGGCTGATCGCGCCCCTTCCCCATGAGACTGTGCCTGTGCCGGCTGGGCTGTTACACCCTGCTCCTCTGGCTGCTCGGGACGACGATGTGGGCTGGCCCTGCCCGCTACCTGCGGAGCCCTTTATCCAGGTCCCTCTACGCCAATATGATGGGCAGCCACCGCCAGCCAGCCCCGGGCGCCAGGGAGAACCACCAGGTACAGACAGCCCCGGCGGCGGCCGCCCTGCCCGCCCCTCCCTTCCCTTCCCTTCCATTCCATGCCCTCATGGCTCGGGGGCGGCGCGGGGACCCCCGGCCCGGGGAGCGGTGCCGGGCAGGGTTGGGAGGAGCGGGGAGCGCGCTGAGGGCTGAGGGGCACCGGGCCGGGCAGCGCAGACAAAGAGAGCCGACCGATTGCTCTCGCGGGGAGAAAGTTGCCGTTTGCCCTCGGTGCGGAACGGGGCTGCGGGCTCGGGGGGGCCGGGGCGAGCCCGGTGGTACCGGCGAGGGGAGCGGCACCCAGAGCGGGTCGGGTCGGGGCAGAGCCGCTCCCGGAGAGCTGCAGCCCCGGGCTGAGGATGTGCATTCCGCGTTCTGGACCTGCAGCCCCGGCTGTGGATGTGCATTCCGCGTTCTGGACCTGCAGCCCGGGCTGTGGATGGGCACCCCGGGCTGTGGATGTGGATTCCGCGTTCTGGACCTGCAGCCCGGGCTGTGGATGGGCACCCCCGGTGTTTCCAGCGCACACCCCCGGTTTGTCCGGCCAGCCCTGCCACAGCGCTCCGGGAAGTTTGCCGGTGGTGGTGGTGGTGACGGGGGBCGGCTTGTTGTCACGGTTGTTTGTAATTAGTACCGGTGCGTCTAGAGGAAAACAAAAAAAAAAGTGGGAAACGGAGAAACCCACAGAGGCCTTGGAGCAGTGGTAGGTGGCAAACTGGGAACGAGTTGTTGCGATGTGATCCGATTGCGATAAAAGGTTGGTGCTGTGCTCGGGCACTGTGGCCTCACGGGTCCCTACCTTGTGGAGAAGTTATGGGCTATGCCCTTGTAATGCAATGGTTATGTGATAGATTTCATTTGGAATGTGTTCAGATCCGCACTATGTTTTGGCAAAATGCTGCTGAAAATCTGACAGGAGTTAGAAGGGCTAATAAAACTCTTAGTGCAGAAGGAAGCTGGCAGCTTAATCTAGRTTAAATATGCAGAACCGAGCTAACGAAGAAGACATAGCATAAACATTTGAGTACTGCTGGACAAAGGAAGACCATAATTTTTCCTGCTGATCCATTAGTGCAGCCTTCTGAGTGTTCTGGGTGGGCACTGATACCCAGAACCTTGCTGAGTGATGTATCCCTGGAGTTGAAGGCT